CTCTCCCACCTCAACGGCAACGCTAAGGACCCCTCGGAGGATGTCCAATGGCCAGCGGGGAGCACGCCTAAGCTGGCTGTTGAACATCCCCCAAGGGGTCCCAGACTGCGAGAGGACGTAGGCCAGGCTGAGGGATCCCCCCGCTCCAGTGCACGAATGTTGTGCACCAGGCCTCTAGTCTTTATATAATTTTTCATTCTATTATAAAAAAAGTTTAGATGCATCTGAAAACAAAATAGTACAGGGGAGGGTGGGTGGGTGAAAGGCAAACCCCAAAGACCTTATATGCATATATGCGTAACCCATGGACACAAACAATAGGATGGTGACGGTGAAGGGGGAGAAACAGGGGGTCAATAGGGGGAGAGGGGGACATATGTAATACTTTCAACAATAAAGATTTAATAAATAAATAAAAACAGAATAGTACACGCTGCTGCATGTAGAAAAGAAAGCCCAGGGTGTGAGCACACAGGTTGCCAGGAGCCGCAAAACCAGTGCCCAGCATGGCACCGCGGCCGCCATGAGTCAGAGGCACGGGCTCGCTGAGCGTGCCCCAACAGATGGCTCCTTTGATTCTCAGTCTCAGAACCTGTTACACGTTCTGATCATGAACACCAGAGTCATGATCAGACGAGCAACTGAAGGCACGGTCGGACAGGGTCTAACAGGAAAAGTAATGTAACTTCTAGGCTCTGTAAAGAAAGAGGTGTGATACGGTGGCTTTTGTAGACTTCTTTACAATGTGGCTGCCCGGCTTGCTCCGAATCAGTGTTTCCCAGCTTTTTTTCCGACTATGACTTTGGCGGGATCCGTCCCCGCACTCTTTCCCCGCCCTCTCTGACAGTCCCATGTGCCTTTAGGACCCAGGCATGAACAAACATCAGTCACTCCACACAGTCCTCCCCACAGCAACTTGGAGGAAATATTGTGCTAAGTGAAATAAGTCAGGCGGAGAAAGACAAGTACCGTATGATTTCGCTTATAGGTGGAATCTAAGTGAACAAACAAAACAGAAACAGACTCATAGATACAAAGAACAGACAAAGTTGCCAGAGGGGAGGGGGGCTGGTTGAAAAGCTGTGGGGATTGCAGATTGACCCTGTAACCAAGGCAGGTGCCCTTGATCGAACCGCAGGCTAACACTCTATCCACTAAGCCAAACCGGCTAGGGCTCTCTGTACTTTTTAAAAATGTGAAGTGATGTATGTGACTCACCTTATATTGCGTTGTACAGTGCTCCCTCTGCCCTCACTGTGCATCCTGACACAGCATCTACATGCCTCCTCATCTGGCCACTGCCCCCAAGTGGGTTGTGAGCCCCATCAAGCCGGGTTCTGTTTTCTTCTTTTCATCCTCACTTTCTAGCACCCGGCATACCGGACAAAGGGTATTGCGCAGTTAATCATTATGTAATTTTTTAAAATATATTTTTATTGATTTTAGAGAGGAAGGGAGAGGGAGAGAGAGAGATAGAAACATCAATGATGAGAGAGAATCATTGATCAGCTGCCTCCTGCATGCCCCCTACTGGCAATGGAGCCTGCAACCCAGGCATGTGCCTTTAACCGGAATCGAACCCGGGACCCTTCAGTCTGCAGGCCGACATTCTATCCACTGAGTCAAACCGGCTAGGCCATTATGTTTTTGTTTTTGTTTTTTAATTTTTTTAAATATGTTTCTTTATTGATTTCAGAGAGGAAGGGAGAAGGAGAGAGAGATAGAAACATCAATGAGAGAGAATCATTGATCGGCTGCCTCCTACTGGGGATCGAGCCAGAAACCCAGGCATGTGTCCTTGACTGGAATCGAACCTGGGACCCTTCAGTTGGCAGGCTGATGCTCTTATCCACTGAGCCAAGCCGGCTAGGGCTAGGGCATTATGTTTTTTAAAAAAAATCCAGATGAAATTCTCATAACATCATATTAACCATTTTGAAGTGAACAATTCAGTGGCATTTAGCACGTTCCCATGTTGTGGAGCCACCATCATTACCTACTTCCCAAATGTGTCCATCACACAAAAATAAGGCCCCTCACCCACCAAGCACTCCCCCCATTCTCTCCGCCCTGCTGCCCCTGCAGTCACCAATCTGTTTCCTATGGATTTGCCTACCCCGGATATTTCATATAAACGGAGTCACACGATATGTGGCCTTTTATGGCTGGTTTCTTCCACTTAGCATCATGTTTTTGAGGTTCACCCACACGTTAGCATGTCTCAGTACATTTTTTTAAATGTTCCTTCTTCTATCCAAATTATTCCATCCCACCTGGAATGCACTCCCCCCTGCCTCCCCTGTGCTCAATCTAACTCATCAGGCTAACAATACAACAGCCATTGGCGCTTTGTGATTGCAGAGGTGAGCGGAAAAGGACGCACTGACCTTCGTAATTAATTTTCTCCTCTTTCCCTAAAAAGCTAGGAGAGATATGCTGGTTGACGTATAGTTTCAAACCTTAGTAACCCTGAAAGCGAGGCCGTTTCATTACTTATTCATGCGGAGAGCACCCAGACAGACTGAAGCACTAGACGAAAACAGAAGCCCGTGAGTCACTCGTTAATGCTTAAATCTGAAAACCGTGACTCTGATTATAACACGTTCAAAAGCCCACGGGCGGCCAGGGCACATCACATGAGCTTTCTCTCGCTTTGAACTGATTCTGTATCTTCGGTTTATTCTTGCCTTTCTGCTCTGCCAAGTATCAAAGGCTGTGTTTCAACAAGTCTTGAAAGCTTGGAGAGGTACTTCCCATCGCTGTTCTTATCACATGCTCTTCTTCACAAGTAGACTTTTTTTTTGCTAACTCACCTACTGTATCACTTTAATAGGCAGAATAATGGCCCCCAAAGCTGTTCCCATCCTAATCCCCGGAACCTGTGAAGATGGGTGGTGGCAACGGGGGGATTAAGGTTGCAGGTGGAATGAAGGTTGCTGATCAACTGACTTAAGACAAGGAAATGAATCTGGATTATCCAGGTGAGCCCCATGTAACCACAAGGGTCCTTGTAAGGGAGAGAGCAAGGAGGGAGGGTCATCGTCAGGTGGGATGTGAGAAAGGCCTCACCGGCCAGGCTGGCGTTGCAGGTGGACGGGGGCGGCGAGCCAGGACTTACAGGGAAGCCGCTGGAAAAGGCAAGGAAACAGTCCTCCCTACAGCTTCCCTCTAACGCTTTTATTTCCGCCCAGTGAGGCCCATTGTAGATCTGACTTCCAGAACATAAGACAATCGATCTGTGTTGTTTGAACCCTTGCAGTTTCTGCCATTTGTTACAGTAGCAATCAGGAACAAATGCAACAGCTGTTTACAAAAGTTGGGGAGAAAAGAACCTTAATTTTTATTTTATTGCTTAAAAACGCCAGTTTGGCCCTGACTGGTTTGGCTCAGTGGATAGAGCGTCGGCCTGCGGACTGAAGGGTTCCAGGTTTCGATTCCAGTCAAAGGCATGTACCTTGTTGTGGGCACATCCCTAGTAGGGGGTGTGCAGGAGGCAGCTGATTGAAGTTTCTCTCTCATCGATGTTTCTAACTCTCTATCCTTCTCCCTTCCTCTCTGTAAAAAATCAATAAAATATATATTTAAAAAAAAAAACAAAAAACGCCAGTTTGAACTGAGCAATTCCTAAAGTTAACCACCCCCCCTTTTTCAGGTGCTGCTCCTCAAGCAGGGACTTTGGCCACCACGAGGGGTGTCAGAACCTAGGAGGCTTAAAGGTAATTTTGTACATTCTCAAAAGTTGACTATTTTCTCAACATCGTTTCCAAACTGAATAATCATGTCGATGATACCAAGTAATTGAGATGGGTCTCTTCTTCCAATGAACAATTTCAAACTTAATTTACAGTATCATTTTATCTATAAAAAAAAACACACAAACTTGAGGATATTTCTTGTCCAAAATAGCCCTGTGTCTGGTCCTATGACATAAACTAGTTCACATGTTGTCTGTCAGCTGTTGCTGCTCAAGGCACCCGTGACCCAACGGGTAGTGCTTTGAAGGGAGAACTGGTGTCCTCTCCACCTCATTCACCTGCCTTCCTCTTTGCCTGCTGCCCTGTCCATCTCCCCTGGACGGGCCAGGGAAGGAGAGAAGACATAAAAGAAGATTTGATCCCTGTGTCTGTCTCCCTATTTTTTTTTTAATATATTTTTTATTGATTTCAGAGAGGAAGGGAGAGGGAGAGAGAGGGAGAAACATCAATGATGAGAGAGCATCATGGATGGCTGCCTCCTGCACGCCCCACACTGGGGATCGAGCCGCAACCCGGGCATGTGCCCTGACCGGGAATCAAACTGTGACCTCCTGGTTCAGAGGTCGACGCTCAACCACGGAGTCACGCCAGCCGGGCTCTGTCTCCCTATTAAATGAAGGTTTTGTTACTTCCAATTTAGAGAGAGTTCATCTGGCCAAAAGCACAAGCCAGAACTAATTATCAGTAACAAGGGGCAATAATACTTAGAAAATAGGTCAACAGTAAGTTTTTCCTAAACTGAAGCTGTTTATGAAATTCTAAACGTCACATGTGTGTTGTAAATAGCAAACAGAACTACATAGATTATTCATACACTGTACGTAAGCACGTGCATAATTTATTTGTAATGAAGACACTGTTGTTTCTAGCTTGAATCATGTATTCCCTCTGGTGTTTTTCCTTCACATTTGCCTCTAAGGCTGTCAAAGGAGCACTGAGGAGCCACATGTGGCCTTCGGGGAGGGAGTTGGCCACTCCCGCTCTGTGGATTTCTATTCCTTGTTGGCGCAGCTCAAACACCAATCAACACCCCCCCCACTTTTACCCTCACCCCCCGCAGGACGTCTGAATCTGCTGAAAATGGTTCTGTGGCTGTGACTTGAAGATCACACGCGGTGAAGTGTTCATGTTGCCACATTTCCTGCACGTTCTGCAGCCAGAACTAATCTGAGCGTATAAAATTCATGTTCCAGACGAGCTTGTTTTGACATTTAATGCCTGCGTTCTGCAGCGAGACATAAATATGCTGTACGTTCTCTGCAACTGACCCTGAGTGATACAGCACAAAGCTTTGAGAGCAGTTACCAACAAGTATGCAGGCTGCTTCCACATTTAGATGGAATTGCACAGAGATCATAACGTGTGCTTTTGAGTACGTTTCTCAACCAAGGGGGGGGGAGTCTGAGCAGCTGTTTCAAGCACCTTCTGCACAACATGTGTTATCCATGCACATAATTCACAATTTCAAGTGACCGAAGATACACACACACACGCACGCACACCATCTTTGCAGCACTAGCCAGCACTGGGAGGAGCTGGTCATCTAGCTTAGAGCAAAGGAAACCTAATTGTGACATTTCAGCATGAGCTGGGTGAGTGAGTCAGTAAAGGAACAGCAGCAAGTTGATCATCCATGAGGCTGGAGATTACGATTTTATTTGGCGAAGGACCTTAGAATAGGGTCCAAAGGAAAGGAAGTTACTAGGAACTTCTTTGGAACTGTGGAGTCGCAGCGTTGAAAGCGTGCCTCTCGAAATCGAATAAACATGCTGAGAGCAAGTGAGTCAGAAGCACATGAATTGTAAGAGGTTGAACCCAAGAGGCCACATCAGGCAGTGCTGCTTAATGCCATCACATGATCCGCCCCGAGGCCCACATTTAATTAAAAGGAGTGGGGCGCAGGAGAAGAGGCTGCTGTTGGCAGATGGAGCCGGAGGAGCTGGGAGCTGAGCCTTGATTGCTGGGTCCGGAGAGCACGGAGAGCACGGTCAGCATGGAATGTGCCTACTGCTTCCTGGGGTGTCTGCTTCTGGCTGCAGGAGTGCCCCTTGGTGCCGCCAAACGTGAGCGATTCTCAAAGTTTCTGTGTTTAACCCGTTCTCTGGCTCGGGGCTGCGTGCTGGGCTGTCTGGAGAAATGTTGTCTGAGCCAGAGCTAGACTCCATGCTCAGTCATTTCTTCTGGAAACCGCTGGGAATGTGGGAACCACAGCAAAATGCCGCCAGCTCCATTCTTTGCTTCAGGCTCATAGAAACTAATAACCGTGCAGCCTCTCTCTGATGGGGCTTGCTTTATTTATTTATTTATTTATTTTCCCCATTACAGTTGGGACCTACTGTCTTTGCCAGACAGGGGAGGGCGGGGGTGCGAGGGGAACAGAGGGGAACAGTCTGGCCTGAGAACAGAGCAGCGCTTCCCCCTGAACTTTGGTTTCGATTCGGTAGGGTAGAGCGCTCAGGACAAGCTCTCTAATAATCCCAACCCAGAAGCCCACCCCCAGAGATTTCTCCCCTGAGCTGCATGAACTCGCGGCCTCTATGGTGAGGTTACTGCGAGAAGAGCTGGAGCCCAGGCCTCTATTCTGGTTTGCATTGCAGGTTGGCGACTTGTTAACAATACAGATGCCCAGATCCCAGAAATAAGAATCTTTGGAGGTGGGTTGGAGCACCCTTATTTAAAAAGCTCCGCCCTAGCCGGCTTGGTGGATAGAGCATCGGCCTGTGGACCCACGGGTCCGGGTTCGATTCCAGTCAAGGGCACATACCTCGGTTGCAGGCTCCTACCCCGGCCTGGGCCCTGGTCAGAGGCATGCAGGAGGCAACCAATAGACTTTGATGTTTCTCTCTATCTTTCCCTCTCTCTTCCACTCTCTCTAAAAATCAATGGAAAAATACCCGCGGGTGAGGATTTAAAAAACAACATAAAAAGCTCCTCTTGTGAGTGGAATGCAAAGCCAGAATTTGAGCCATTTAGGTCAGATGCAGCCCACTGGTCCAGTCCAGGGGCGGGTGGCGATGGCGGCCCCGTGCTCCGCAGTTAGAGTGGAACAGGAGTAAAGTGTGCATCACCCAGAAGGGCCACCCCACCTGGCTCCAGAAGGCATTCACTGGGTGAGAAGTCAGGGATCCTGGTTCTGCCGGGGGAGGCGCTGAGAAAGGACCGCATCTGCATCCCCATCGGCAGCCTGTGTGCAGGCTGCTTCCCTCCGTCGCTCAGGTCATCCCCACAGCACCTTCGTGGAGCAGCCGGTCCTTGCCCAGTCAACAGGCGAGGACACCAGAGCCCGGACTGCTGCTCCCCTGCTAGGCCTGAGGGAGCAGCATCTCGGACCCTTGGCCGGAGGGACCTGCACACACATCCTTCCTGCCTCCTCCTTGCGGGAGAGAAGTGTCTGTAATTAAGTTGTCCTCACAGAGTGGGAACCCAAGAGAGGAAGGAGCAGGAAACTGCTGGCAGCCGGGAGGGCAGAGCGCGTGTCCCTGGGGCTGGGAGGCCCAGGTGGGGCGGGATGTAAGAAGGGGGCATTGGGGGTGCAGGAGCCCCAAGGTGGGGGCAGGGAGTGCCATTTGGGGGGAAATAGAGGTAAGTGGCCAGAGGCATGACCAGTTCTGTTCAGGTCCAGGGAGACCCTGCCCCGCCATCTCCTGGGACTGGGCCCCGTGTCTTTGACCAGGGACTGGAGTGGGTGCCAGGGCCCGAGAGCGCTGGCCTGTGTGGGCCTCACGTGGCTTGTGCACAGCTGGGAAGGCCGGCGTTATGATGATCCCGTTTCCCAGACCAGGAAATAGGCCACAGAGAGGCCAAGAAACTGGCCCCAGGCCACACAGCGGGTAAGGGGAAGAAGGCCGCTGCCACACCACTGTCCTTCCTGCGGTTGCACAGCCGTGGGCTCCCTGCCAACTGTGGGCAAGGCAGTGACTTAGCTCCATGCAGCTTTCGTTTCCTCCTTTGCCAAACTGGGTAAAGGGGTTCTTGAGAGATGAGCCAACGACAGGTGCTTGGAGTGGGAGACCTACAAGGTGGTGATTGTCTTCCTCAAAGAACCTCCTGGGTGACTCCCCAGGAGTCCGGGAGGTGGAGGGACCGACAACTGACTGGTCAGTGGAGGCCTGCGCCCAGTTCTAGCCTCCTTTCCACCGACGCCCCTTTGCTCTGCTCAGTGAAATAGGTTAGCGGGCCCTAACCAGTTTGGCTCAGTGGATAGAGCATTGGCCTGCGGACTCAAGGGTCCCGGGTTCAATTCCGGTCTAGGGCATGTACCTTGGTTGCGGGCACATCCCCAGTGGGGAGTGTGCAGGAGGCAGCTGATCAATGTTTCTCTCTCATTGATGTTTCTAACTCTCTATCCCTCTCCCTTCCTCTCTGTAAAAAATCAATAAAATATATTTTTAAAAAAAATAGGTTAGCAGGTTGAATCTCTCCGTTGATTTGAGAGGAGCCCCAGCCCGTTAGGCAACGTAACAAAACCCTGATGTTCCTGGCTCCTCCTGGCCCTAAACCAGAGCTTCTGGTCACAGGAAACGGGATGGGTAGGATTCACAGGGTTTCACACGCTAAGGGATCTTTACCGCTGTCCAATCACAGCCCTGGGAGGAGGGAGGAAGAGGAAGGTGCTGACAAGCTAGTTAAGGATCAGCCTCAGCCGCAGTTGGCGATGGGCGAGCAGGGAGGCCAAAGTGCCCACAGGAAAGCCAGGGCTGAGCTGGGAGTGACTCCATTGGCCTCCACACGTATCCCCACCCCCAGCACACCTCTCTTTTTCCCCTTCTAGTCTGCTTACTATTGGGTGTTCTTTTTCTTCTACTTTTAATTCAACTTTTAATTCTGAGGTCATTGTAGATTCATATACAGTTGTAAGAAATACTACAAAGAGATTCCCCAGTGCCCTTTACCAGGTTTCTCCCAATGGTAACATCTTATAAAACTAGTGTATA